GAGTCGCCATCGACCTTTGGGTTAGGTAGGTCGAATACCTAAAAACGCCTTTTAAAAATAATTTTAAGAAAAATCCTTTTTAAGACAAAAAGTTGGTATGCATTTACAAAGATTCGATTAAAACGGGTCTGGGAATCAGTTACGCATGGGAAGGGTAATCACCCCCACATCGCCCAAAATTGGTATTATGTCGCTTACATATCGTCGTAAATGGTGGAAATAATGAATCGAATATAAATTTAAATTAAGATCCAGACATTGAACATCGATTAATTTGCTTCGAATTAATTATTTAAAGAAAATTCTTTAACTCGATAAAAAATCTTGAAATTTGCAATCCTCCGTCGGGAAAGCTATTTTAACTATTTTTCATTGTTAAAGAATATTATGTCCTCATTGATTTAGAAAAATGAATCGAATAAAAATTAAATATTGACCTTTGTATAAATTAAATTGTCATATAAAAACACATTGAATCATAAGAGATTTAATTAGTAAAATAGATTAAATTTATTTCAAGTCACATTTCGTTCGAACGTCGTATCATATTATACCACTTCGATCAAGTTATACTCTCCACGTCCGTTCTACAAATACGTGTTCTTGAAATATTCAGATAATATTTAAATAAAGAAATACAATGGAAATAAATACAAATAGAGTTAAGCATATTTACGTATGATACAAATGAATACATAACATAAAAATATGTACACACGGATTGAAATAAATAAAAATGAATATTACAACCCAAAATATAATGATAAAAAAGTAAGCATTTATAATTACAAGGACCAGAATGGGAAAAATATAAACTTAAAGGACCAAAATAGAAAAAATAGACATTTAAAGGACTAAAATAGCAAAAATAGAAACATAAGGGACTAAAATAGCAAAAATAGAAACTTAAGGGAATAAGCTAGCAAAAATATAAACTTAAGTGACTAAACAGTAATTATGAACAAATCAGAGCTCCAATCGAAAATATTAAATATTGTAGGTACTAGAAATGTAAATAACCCATTAACAACATTGGGGACTAAAATGAAATGACTAAAAACATAAAGGACCAAACAACAATTAAACCAAATGCATAAACAGTGACTAAAATAAAAGATTTACAAATGTCATGGATGAATTCGAACATAAAGGAAAATATACAAAACATTAAATCAGTTGCTAAAATGAAATAATTACAAATATTACAACCAAAGTCAAACATTAATACAAATGTAATAACTAGCCAGATAAGGACAAAAATGAAATAACCAAGAAAATAGATTGCTTAAGTACAAATAAACTAAAATACGATGAGCTAGGCTTAAATAAAACATAAAAGCATTCAAATGTCAATAAGGACTTAATTACAACTCATAAAAAATTAAGAGATCGAAATAAAAAAAATAAAGTTGCATTAATGACCATAATAAAATGTTACAAGATAAAAATGACCTTTTGGGTAATAAACCTATACGCGAAAATGCTTCCAGGGTCCTCCACGAAACGACGTCGTTTCACAAGTCATATATATGGCCAAGCCCAAGCCAAAAATCAAACTATTTCTCATTTTTTTCCTTGCTTGTTTTTTTTAAAGAGATAGAACATTGAGAAGGCTTTAGAGAACTTTAAAAGGGTTCATAGATTCCCAAAATTCGGTGGGACTCCGCCGTGCCGGCCGCCAACGACGGAGGAGAGAGAAGAACATACAATTTGGAGCACCTCTTCACCTTTGTTAGGGATGGAAAAAAAAGCGAACCCGTCGGGAAAAACTGAAAACCGAATTAAATGGGTCGGGTTCGGGGATTATAAACGGGGATAGGGAAAAACTGAATGTTTTAAACGGGGACGGGTTTGGTAATCCCCGCCCCGATTACCCGAATACCCGGCCCGATACCCGGCTTGATAAATATTAAAAATAATTATTATATATATAACATTAATAAATTTAATTTAAATTAAAAATATATATAATATTTATATATTTAATTTAAATATATATACCCGGCCTGATACTAAGCCCGATACCCGTTTAAATACCCGTTTATGCTAAACGGGGATACCCGTTTCCCCGCGACTTTCCCTGATTACCTGATGGGGATCCCCGTTTAAATCCCCGTAGTTTTTTAAGCGAGGATGGGTATGGGTTTTTTAAACGGGGATGGGGAGACCAATCCCTAGCCCGAAACTGCCCCGTTGTCATCCCTAACCTTGGTTGCGAATCCGAGCCTCGTTTGGCCTGAAAATGGCTCAAACGCTATAGATCTACAAAGAGATGCTTCGATATCTTTGGCTCCGGTGACCCTTGGTATGCTCATTTCAAAGTTGAGGTAAGGGCTTCGATCATTTTTTCTTTGTTGTTCTTATTTTTTTTCTTTGTTTCAAATACTCTCTTAGTTTTCCCCTTTTTTCTTTCAATATCTCTCTTTTTTCTTTATTTGTTGTCTCCCGTCCGAATCATTCCTCTTTTCCTCTGTCTTTTTCTTTTCTTTTTATGTTTCCATGTGATTGATCTGTTGATGCCTCTGATCTATGTTAAATCCCCTCGGGATTTTGGGTGATTTATTTTTCATTTTTTTATTTGGGTTTTGATATCTTGTACTGTTGGTGGTCATTGTTCGATGGATGGGTATCACTGTGTGGCCAGAGTTGTCGACGGTAGCTGGAACAGCTGGTGGCTGCAGTATGATATCCCCAGGGTTAGGTTTCAGAAACCCTAGGGGGCCGAGTCGGGTTAGCTTGAATTGATATGGGTTTGCTGGGTTTAGAGTGATAACTGAGTGATATTTTGGGCCTCGGTTGAGGGCCCGTGTAGCATGTAATCTAGGCTTGGGTTAGTGCTGGGCTCCATTTGGGCCTCATTTGGGTCACTGGTAGGCCTGCAAATATATAATAATACTAATAATAATAGTGAAAATAAATAAAATAAAAAAAGACCCGGACAAAAACGGGTGTCTACAGTTATAAAAAACCATTTAAATTGGAATCAAATAATATCATAATATTACAAATATTTATAATAAAATTTAAATAGAAACTCGAAAATTCGATTCAACTCGAAAAATTTTCAAGTCAACTTTGAGTTGTAAAATAGGACTCGTCAACACAAATCACTCATAATTTTTTTACTCGACTCGATCGAATGCTCACCCATAAGTATTGCTTACGTGTCACCTTAAGGTAAAGACACATCATCTTTGAAAAAAATAAAAAAATAACGTCAACAGTTCTGTTAAATTTTAGGGTAAACTACAAGGATGATCACTAATGTTTGAGATAGTTTTCATTTTCCCCACCGATGTTTCAAAAGTTATAAATCGATCACTAATGTTATCTATTGGTTACAAACTGGTCACTTATCATTAACAACCGTTAACAGACATGACAAAGAATACACTTAGCACGTTAACTACTAACGTTTATGGGTTGACAACCATGTTAAAATGATAAACTACATAAATGACCACTAATGTTTGAGTACATTTTTGTTTTCCCCATTAAAGTTTCAAAAGTAACAAATCGATTATCGGTTTGCAACAATATAGTCACTCACTGTTAATCTTTGTTATCTGGGTGACGGAAAAACTTACATGGCTCGTTGAGTGCCTGTCAACCTTTTAGTCTACTTTCTTTATCACTTTCTCTCTTTCTTTAAGCTCAAGTTTTACTTTTCCTACTATAAAAATCTTCTCAATAAAATCACTCTCCTTTAGCCAATCAAACCCTTCATTGCAAAAATAGTTTTGGTTACTTTAAACCTTGTGTTAATTTTTTTTTACGCTTACATCATTGTAAACAAGTTGAACAAAAGTTGTTTTATCCATGCCCTCATGCTAGTGATGGAAAAGACATAAACTCCATTAGAGTTATTAGTTTTGAGCAAATAAATTGAAATTTATGATTGGTACAACCTATAGTGGGATTAAATGCAAATATTATTGAAAATGAAACTTCCATGATCCCATCCCAATAAATAAAATGTCAACTCTATTGGTGAAACTTAAAGTCAAAGAAAAAGAAAATTATATATGCAAATAAACCAGGAGGGGACAATATTATTCAAAAAAAATAAAATAAAAAAGAGGGGTTTAATTACTACTCCCTCCACCATGTTGTTCCAAGTATACAAACTTGAGGTCTAATTGTTTGGTTATCTTGTTCAAGCTGTGTGAGTAACATGAATGCGAGGACTACTGTGTACCATAATAAAGAATAAGAAACTGAAGGTATTCATTGTCGTAAGAATGCAAACAAATTTGAGTAGAATAAGAATCAGTTGACAAGTTGATAGGATAAGGAATAGTGATTTTACAAAGATTTTTATAGCAGAAAAAGTAGAATATGATCTTAAGAAAAGAGAGAGTGTGACGAAGAAAGCAGACAAAAAGGTTGATAGGTTAGCACTTAACAAGCCACGTAAGTTTTTGGTCACCCACGTTAACGGAGGTTAATGGAGAGTGATTATTTTGTTACAAATCGATAACATTAGTGATCGATTTGTTACTTTTAAAACTTTAGTGGGGAAAATGAAAACTTATTCAAACATTAGAGACCATTTGTATAGTTTACTCTTAACGTGTTAGTCAACCCATCTATGTTAGCAATTAATGCGCCAATTGTGTTTTTCGTCATGCCTGTTAACTTTGAGTGACCAATTTATAACCAATTGATAACATTAGTGATCAATTTGTAATTTTTGAAACACCAGTAGGGAAAACGAAAACTACCTCAAACATTAGTGACTCTCCTTGTATTTTACACAATTTTTTAAATGACTAAAATAAAACGAAAACATAATATTAGGTATAATTTTTAGAAAAATAATTGAGTGACCAAAACGGAACAAAAGTGATAGTTAAGGTATTAAATACATATTTTACCAAAACAATTATATTAGAACGTGGCATTGCTTTGACAGACGAAGAAATATAAAACAGTAATTTTATCTTTTCCCTTTCCCTCAGTAATAATCCTGCTATAAGTATCTTTTGGAACCACTCGTTTTCTCTTCCTCTCTTTAGGGGCCTCTTCTCTTTTCTAGTTTTCTTTTTTTTCTTTTCACTTTCTCGAGGCCTCCCGTACTCTGAACCCTAGCTGCTAGCCGGAGAAAAATTAAAGGAAAACAACATAAATTCAAAAGCGTAATTTTCTTGCCAACCAAACCCTTCGATTAATCATCCCCAAATCAATCGCTGAGAAAAAAAGAAAAAAACATGCAGTACCAGAGGATAAAGCAACAGCAACAAGCCTTGATGCAACAAGCTCTTCTTCAACAACAGTCTCTTTATCATCCTGGCATCTTAACTCCTCCTCAGGTTTTCCACTATTTTTGTTCTCTCATGCCTTCAATTTTTGTTCCCAGTTTCTATTTTCGTCGGTTATTGACGTATATTTTTTCATCTTTTTTTTTTTACTTTTTTGTGGATATTTTTTGAAATCGTATTTCGATCCTCGAGCTAGTGTATACTCTGGCTTTTATGGTTGATTCGTAGAGCTTGATTAGTTAGGTAATTTCATGTGGTGATGGCTTTTCTTGCGATTTGCTATTTGGGGGATTTTGTTTCTATTTTGTTGATTAGAAGCTTTGATTGTGATTTTTTTATTTCATTTCTGTTTTCTTCTGCGTTTTTGATCGGCAATGTCTGTGTCTTTAACGTGCTTTTGGTGCAAACTGAAGCTCTTTGTTTTGGTTAAATTTGATGAGAATTTGTGTTATTATTTTATTTTTTTTCATCGCGTGAAATTCCAGTGTTGTTGTTTCTCTTATATGAAGCTGTGGCCTTCATTCTGAAGATTTGCTTTGGTGTTTTCTTTCTCATTTACTTATGTTTCTCACCACTTTGGTTTTAGTTGGTTTCCTGCTAATTGAAACATACATGTTTTGCAAATGTTGACAAATGATTTAATGTGTTTAAGTAAACTTAGTTTCCATCTTTCTTATACACAATCGCAATCAATTAAACAATCACTCAATTCTTTTATGTTTATATGCATGTATCTATTTATCTTTCTATCTATATGTATCTCCTATTTGTTAATATTGGGAAAACACGTATACAATTTCTCATTTATGGAGCAAATAGCATGTTTCGTGAATTTCATTGTGGGCCTCTTTAGGTTTATTATTTATGGTGCTCCAATATAACACCATGAGCAAATTTAAAAAGTATATGACACTTCAATGTGTGTTCTTTTTGTTAAAGTTACATTTCTGGCTGGCCTCTTTCTTTGAATTTTATAGAACGACATGGTCTTGTTTTTCAAAATGGAGGTGGGAGTTAAAATGAATTTTGAGTTGTATATATACTTGAGTTTACTCTGACCTGAAGGCTACAGTTGTGCTGGAAGTCTGTTGTAGATTCGGTGGAAAATCTTTGGCCTTCTTGTCATTGAAAAAAAGGTGGAAAAAAGATTATGTTTAAAGCAAGAAAATGTATTGGAAAGTAACAGTGAAGTTGGAGAAGTGATGTTCTCATTTCTGATGGTTGTATTTTAGGTTGACTGTTGGATTTTCATGGAACTCTTGTTCAATTCTGGTTTGGAATTATTTAGAATTATGTTTAGTGGGAAGGGACTTTTTCTGTTCATCATTTCATCATTTCCTCTTTTTTATTCTCTCTTCTTTTCATAATTTTTTCCTTTTTAATTTTACAGATAGAGCCAATTCCAAGTGGAAATCTGCCTCCTGGTTTTGATCCAAGTACTTGCCGCAGTGTGTGAGTGTTTGCCTAAATTTCTTTTTTAGTTGTTTTTATATAGTTCTTTTCGTTTGTTTTATATTTTTGTGTATGTTATTTCCCTCTTAAGCAACTGTGCAAGTTGCCTTTATGCTTATGATTATATTCATTGGAGACACTTTTCCTTCTCGAATCTGGTGATAAAAATGTTTCCCCTACCCTTAGCGCAAAAATTTAAGCTCATGGCTCCTTTGATTAATAGTTAAATGGTTTCTGGAATTTGATAGATACTTGTATGTTCTTGCATCTTTCGAACAACTTTGAAAGTTACTTGTAGCCTTTTGTTTACTTATTTAATTTTTGAGCAACTGCAGGTATGTGGGAAACATACATACACAGGTGACTGAACCACTACTTCAGGAGGTTTTTGCAAGTACTGGTCCTGTTGAAAGTTGCAAGCTTGTCCGAAAGGACAAGGTATTATTTTCAATATTGCATCTTTTTTATTTATCTGAAACTGTGACGGTGGTCTATATGATTATCTTTTGTTGCTTAGTTTTTTCTCTGTTTCCTTTAGCCTTTTGATTGTTGTATTATTGTTCTTCTGGTCTGTACTCTACTTGAGCAGTCATCATATGGATTTGTCCACTACTTCGATCGTAGATCAGCTACTCTTGCTATATTGTCTCTGAATGGAAGGCACTTGTAAGTATTAACTTTTGGTGCCTCCCACTTATTTTGTTTTGAGTGTGCATTTTAATCATATCATGTAATCTGCAGGTTTGGACAGCCTATCAAGGTCAATTGGGCATATGCCAGTGGTCAGAGAGAAGATACATCAGGTTTACTCACGTACTGGTTTGCAAAAGTTTGTTATAAATATTGATGATGTGCTGGCATTTTTTTACAGTTATACATTTTGATGGTATCATAATCTGTTCAGGTCACTTTAACATTTTTGTCGGGGATCTCAGTCCCGAAGTTACTGATGCAATGCTGTTTGCCTGCTTTTCTGTCTACCCCAGTTGTTCGTGAGTGTCTTCCCTTTTTTATCTTGATTTCAGTAAATTGTTGTGTTGACAGCGTTGTAACTTTTTAAGCTAAATCCTAAACTATTAGATTTGCAAATATATTAGTTAGTAAACCCTGATTAGTTTTTTGTTAAAATGATACAACATTGATTTGATGCTGTCAAAGTGAATAACATATACATGTCTTTACTGATTTAAGGGATGCAAGGGTTATGTGGGATCAGAAAACTGGACGTTCAAGAGGGTATGGGTTCGTGTCATTCCGCAACCAGAAGGTACTTTTCCTTGGTTAAGTTTGTGGTGGCTCTTTATATTTCTTCTAACTTAATGTTGTTTCATCTACTGATGTTTATCTCCCCCTTTGTTCAGGAAGCACAAAGTGCAATTAATTACTTAAGTGGTAAGAGTATTTTTTTAAACTATTGTATACTTTTCTTATCTTCATTAGTCCGTAGTTTTTAGCTCATCAAATAAAGTGGTGATTTATAGCTGTAATAAATTTTAAGTCATCAAATAATGTGGTGATTTATAGCTGTGATAAATTTTAGCTCATCAAATAAAGATGGCTATATACATTTTTCTCACATTCTTCATCTGTTGGAGTAATTTTAATAGGTTGCTAAAGTAGTAAACTAAAAACAAAAATTCATTTTCTATTTATTATGCTATTCTGTAAAATCACCATGTGTAGAGCATTTATTCATTAGATTGCTGTGGCTGAGGTGGAATAATTGTATTTAGCACTGATATTTTAGACGAACTATCACTTGCATGAATTGTTATTATTGGCATTGCAGTCAATTCCAATTGTGCTTTTAATTTATACTTTTAGGAAAGTGGCTTGGCAGTCGGCAGATCCGTTGTAACTGGGCAACAAAGGGTGCTACCAGCAGTGATGACAAGCAGAGCTCTGATGTCAAAAGTGTGGTGGAACTGACCAATGACTCATCTGGTGTGTGTGTTTTGCTGCAATTTATTTTGTTCAAAATATCAAACATTTTCAATAATTATTACATTGTATAATAAAAGACTCGTAACTATTAGTACTTCATTTTATTTAACCTTCATATATCTTTATTTTTGTGCCAAATGGGAAATGTGCAGAGGATGGTAAAGGGACAACAAATACTGAGGCTCCTGAGAATAATCCTCAATATACTACTGTTTACGTGGGCAATCTTGCTCCAGAGGCAAGTGACCATCTCCGACAGCTCTTCTCTATGCTACACATTCAATTTATAATGGAATTGGGTGCTACAAAGCATTATGAGTTTACTTTCATAGGACAAATGAAATGGGTTTTGAACGACCTAGAGTATAAAGAATAATTGATCTTTTATGTATCAATTCTAACATTCCAACCATTTTGCTGTGAATATGAACCACATAGATTGAAAAGTTTAGTACTTTGACCGTGAGAACTCACATCTTATGACAAAGCTTTTAGTCCATGTGAGAATTGGTCTCGTGTTCTGAAAGTTCCACCGACTTTGTACCGTAAAAGAGCATCATATGTTCTCCAATAAAACCAAATATTTTTTATTCCTGCAGGTCACCCAACTTGAACTCCATCATCACTTCCATGCTCTCGGTGCTGGGGTGATTGAGGAGGTTCGAGTTCAGCGCGATAAAGGGTTTGGCTTTGTGAGATACAGTACACATGCTGAGGCAGCTTTGGCTATTCAGATGGGGAACACTCAGTCATTCCTATTTGGCAAGCAAATAAAGGTTTGTCTTCTGCTTTTAGTCAAAAGTCATTTGTATTTGAGAAATATATGTATGTATATATAACATGACATGTATTTTTTTATATATTTGGAGGAGGATGTTCTGGAAATTCTTACGCGAGCATTCTGAAATGATCCGTAGTATGAGTTTGATGTTTATTAGGGATGGTTGAATGTTCTTTGGTTCAGTCATGCACTTGTGGTTTCAAGCATCGTTCTTGAAAGTGACATTTTAATTTTTTTGTACAGTGCTCTTGGGGCAGCAAGCCTACACCACCAGGGACAAGCTCTAATCCACTTCCCCCACCCGCAGCGCCTTTACACGGCCTTTCAGCCGCCGACCTTTTAGCTTATGAGCGGCAGCTTGCCATGAGCAAAATGGGTATTCATGCCCTAATGCAACCTCAGGGGCAACATCCTCTCAAGCCGGGAGCAATGGGAGTGGGTGCCGCTGGAGGAAGCCAGGCTATATATGATGGTGGATTCCAGAACGTTGCTGCCGCCCAGCAGCTGATGTACTATCAGTAAACATATAAAGAAAAGTGTGGTTGTGTGGTATATCCTTTTCTCCTGCATTTTGTTTGCAGGGTTTAATTCGAGTTCGAAATAGGAAGCTTTTTAATGTATTCCCTCTTTCGTAGCGCAGAGAATGCACCCTGCTTTTTATCTTTTTATAGGGTATGCTTGTGTATTGTTCCGTCGTTGCATGTTTCCAGATTTTATTCGAGTTCGAGTCTACTAGGAATGTTTTATCTCCTTTACATATGGATCGGATGTATGAGCATTATCTCCTTTTACATGTCCAGATGGTAACTTTATGTATTTTCTCCTTGATTTGGTTTGGTTAAGTTCGTTACACTTGCGGCCTGCATCAGTTATATTATCTGTGGCACTAACTTGGTTGAACTACTAAAATATTAACTAAAAGCTTTTATAAAAATATGTAAAATTCACTTAATTTTATATTAATATAAATATATTTTCCTTATGTTTGTTTGAAAATTTAAGTACTTATTGACTAATATCTATACCATAAAATGAAAATCATCTCCAGGGGATTGATTGTTCGATACGTGGCTTAGTACGTGTTTTTTTGTTTTAAGCTTTTAGGTTGGCTTAAATTATAAATTCTTAATTCTAATGTTATTTCAGGTAATAGGATTATAAATTATTTCATATTTATTATCAGATTATTCTTATTTAATATATTAGTGTAAATATTTTATTTTATTTATATAATTTACTCATACATACATACAAGCTTATTTTTATTTGTAATGATATCTTTACATGTTTACTCTTTGACCAACTTTTTAACAGTAGTGATGTCAATAATATTATTATTTTTCTTGGATTGGTAAATCTATTGATATTGATATTAATGTATAATTTGTTGGACATAACTAAAACAATAAATATAATTTAATAATTAAAACAATCATTTAAACATAATAAGTTTAAAGTAAATCATTTAAACAATCACACAAATATTTTATATTTATCAATCACACAAATTTTGATAGATTTAATAGATTATAGTGATATATTTTAAAAATAATAGTAATTAAGATTGTAAGATGTAGTTTAACCCCTAGTTAAAAAACCAAACGAGGGCTTAGTTTTAGTTTGCTTGGAGAGCACGTTTCCGAATCCTACCCGGGCTATTCCTAATATGTTTCGCCAAGTTCCCTTCATAAATAAGCAAAATTTTGGAAACCTAAACTTGAACAAGATTGCTATTTGAAACCTTGATCCCATCGGTGTATCTGAACCGCTAGAAGATGCCGGCCACCGCAGGGAGAGTTCGAATGCCGGCGAACAACCGGATGCATAGTAGCGACGCCTTGCAAACCCACGCAATTTGGCAAACTGCAATCAGGCGACGACCGCCACTGCCGAACCCGATGGTGGAATCGCATACGTTAACTTTCAAGCCCTTTTAGCACTCGCCCGAATCTCAGGCCCGAACGCCGATGACGTTCGTGGAGCTTGTAAAAAGTGTGGACGTATCAGCCACCTTACTTTTCATTGTAGGAATTATATAAGTTCGAAGGAGAGTATGGAGAAAAACCCTGAATCGATCGAAGCTGCTGTTCTGCATGGACCGCCGGATAACTTGGAAGGGAAGAAGGAAGTGGAGAGCGATGACGAGGACGAGGAGAGTTCGGATTCTGATGTGGATTCGGAGATTGAGAGGATTATTGCCAAAAGGTTATATGGGAAGAAGTCATCGAAGAAGAAGATTGATGACGCTGTTTCAGGATATGGGGAGAGAAAGAAGACAAAGACGTATAATAATATCCAATCAGAGTATCTAAATGTAGATACAAATAACTCAACAACGATCTATCTTCGTTGATTATGAATAACTATTAATATCCGATCAAAAAACATGTTCTAAAAGACGTTTTGTCGAAATGGTCTTTTACCCGGTGGGGAAAAAGAGGTGGTCCTGCTTCGAAAATGAATTTTGAGTGATAAATTTATGATAAAATGTGGTTCGTGGAGTCACCATCAATCCTTGATTAGGGTGTGATTGGACACCAAAAAATAAATTTGTCATTTTAATAAAATATTAGTTTTAATTAAAAAGACAAACTCGGGGTCTGCATTACTAAAATTTGAATTCGGGAGTCAGTTAAGTGTTGGGAAGGATTAACACCCCTATAACTCCCTAAATCGGTACCTAGTCGATTAATTAATTGTCTTTGTAAAAAATGTACAAATTCGAGTCTAATTTAATTTAAGATCCCCTAAAATAATGTTCTTTGAAATTTTGGATGAAAGATAATAATATTTAATTATTTTCTATCGAGAAGAACCGATCTATCATACCTTGAAGCAATCGATTCTTACTCTAATCGAAATAAAAAATATTAAAATTCCATTCTAAATTTCAAAATAATAACACTAAAAATAATTTTAAGAGCGAAAACAATAATATTTAATTATTTCGGATCGAACATTTTGAAAATCCTTTGAAAACACATGCAAAAGTCAAATAAATAAATAAATAAATAACATATCAAACAATTGATTAATTATTTATTTTATCAATATTTAATGAGAATAAGGATATTCAATTAATTAAATATCGTGAGACGAGACCATAGATTCGATCTAACAGTCTTTTCTCGATGAATTTAATTAAAAGAATACAATCATTTTCTCAAACCTTGAATTTTAAAAATGGATTTGATTTAATTGGTGTTACTTAACGAGATAGACTTTCGTTTTAAAATTATCGAAAGTAACTTTCTTATACGTTAAGACAATTACTTTACGACAATATTAAAACGCTCGAATATTACCCTTAATTAATTTGTTTATTCGAGTCAAGGGATGCTGATGAGGATATCATACAAGATTAATTAGAACTAAAATGAATTAAAATGCAATCAACATGCAAAAATCAAAATAAATATAAATTATAGGATTAAAAATTAAACTATTAAACTATCATTCCAAAATTGAAATAACATGAAAAAAAATATAAGGGACTAAAATAAATAGATTCAAAATTAAAAGTTAAAATTATAAATAATAGCAATAAATAAAACAGAGGGATCAAATTAAAATATAATAAAATTATAGTACTGAAATAAAATAAATAAAACTTAATATAATGCTTGAAATATAAATATATAAAGATACATGGGGCAGTAAATAAAATACCAAAAAATAATAATAATCAGGCCTAAAAAAGGAAAATTAAAATAAAGTCCTTTTAGGGACTAATATATAAAACACGGTTAAAGTTTTGAGGACTTAACTGATATTTTACTAAAATACATTAAGGCATATACGAAAATGGCTACATTTCTAAAATAGTCCCTACATGTGACTGTTTTGTAAAACACGCGAAAAGTTAGAGGGATTTATGTTGTAGTTTTACACTTTAGTTTATCTATATATATTACACATTTTTCTTTTTCTCTCATTTGTAACCGATTGAGGGGAAAAGAGAGAGAGAGAGAGAGGGAGAGAGAGAGAGAGAGAGAGGGTGAGATATCCTCTCCCCTGGCTCAGTCGGCCCACCGCCTGACTCCATCCGAAAACCGCTCCGGCCACCGCACATGGTGGCCGGAATTTCTAAAATCACACAAATCACCTTTTTTTTATAGATCTAACCTCCTATCTAATTATTTTCGTCTAAAAATAACCCAAAACAAGCTCCAAAGCCTCTCGACCTTTCAGCTACTCATGCACTCCGACGAACATCCGACGAAGGCTAGACGACTCAGGTAAATTTCCCTTTCAAACTCTCGACTTTCTTTATACTTTACATGTAAGGTTCCTTTGTTTTTTTTCCTTCATTTATGTTTCGATTTGCTTCGAATATAAACTAAATAATAAGTAAAAATAAATGCAAAATACCTCTCAAATATGCATGTTTTATTGCTTTGTTTCTGTTCTAGAAAATCTCAAAGGGTCTAACCCCGTTTACATCGCATGCTACGGGATTTATACCCGTTTTTACAATCTAAAAATAGCACTAATATATTTTATTGGTTGTTGTTTTGGTGCCTAATGATGGTTCATGCATGGTATGGACAGCCGTGATTGGTTGCATGGTGGTGATTGCTGAGTGGTCGGCAGCAGCGGTGGCATGGGAGTGGTCGGCAGCAGGGCGTGATCTGGACTGTTGGATGGGTCCAGATCCAATGGTTGGACTTCAAGGCGACATTAAGGGGTTTTGGAAATCCTAGTAGGAACCTTAAACGAGTTTAGGGTTTTTTATTGGACCTGGATCAATTTTGGGCCCCAAATGGGTCTTGAGTTTAGGGTTCTTAGCCTACTTGGGTTATTTTGTAAACATGTAACCAAAATAATAATAATTTAGTAATTTATTAAATATAATAATAATAATAATAATAATAATAATGTAAATTAGTATAATAATGATAATCTAATATTAGGACGTAAAAACGAGTGTCAACAACTGCCCATCTTTGTTCTATTCTCGTGTTAACAAGAAGAGGGAAAAGACGAAGAGACAATGCATTTTTCGTCCAGTCAATCTCAAGGTTTGAAATATGATTAAGAAATCTGTTCCGCTGTTACTCAGGGAATATCAGATTTGAGGATGTTGATCCATTCCGCTGCTCTTCAGGGAAAATTGAATCGAGGTAAATTTGTTTCACTAGCACTAAGGGAATATCAAATCTTGGAAGGTAGGGATCTGTTCCGCTTCTTCTGAAGGAAATATCAAATCTGGAAGGAGAGGTGATTCATTCCACTGTTCTTCAGGGACATTGAATCGAAACAGACTTGTTCCACTTTCACTGAAGGGAATATCAAATCTTGGAAAAGAGAGACCTGTTCCGCTTACTCTGAAGGGAATATCAGATCTTAGAGGAGTTTGATCTATTAAATCGAAGCAGACTTGTTCCACTTACTCTGAAGGGAATATCAACTCTGGGGAAAGAGAGACCTATTCCGCTTACTCTGAAGGGAATATCAGATCTAAAGGAGTTTGATCCATTGAATCGGAGCAGACTTGTTCCATTTACTCTGGAGGGAATATCAAATCTTGGAAAAGAGAGACTTGTTCCGCTTACTCTGAAGGGAATATCAGATCTTGGAGGAGTTTGATCTATTGAATCGGGGAAGACTTGTTCCATTTACTCTGAAGGGAATATCAAATCTTGGGAAAGAGAGACCTGTTCCACTTGTCTTTAATATTGACAAATCTGAAAATTAAACATTAAGTTAGTTAGACTGTGTTTGAAGATTTGAAAACATCATACCTGTAAGTCTCGGGGTAGTAATCTTTGGAAAGTATTTCTCTT